CCTTCCAACTCCTCATATTCTGTGACTCTGTTTGATAGACTGAGCTTGTCTTCTGTTATGGAGAACCTTCCTTGCCACAATGTTTGACTCAATAGCTCTTTCAGTCTCTCACAGCTGGGTAATAAGTTTCTAAACAAAAACATGAATCAAATACCATGCATCCTTCACTCTAGCTCATACAGCTCTAAAAACATTTTATACTTCTAAATTATTAATTAGAAAGTTATTTACAACTGTGTCCTCAGAGTAACAAACCCAAATACCACCAAGAAGTACCTGTTGACAATTTTACCTCTTTTTCTATTAGGTCTTCTAAAGAAATTTCATCTTGCTTTTCCTCCTTCTTTTTGTCTTTTTTTAATACAAAACCTGGAGGAAGAGCATGGCGATACATGCAGTTGTCTCCTCCACCTGGACAGACCCAAAACCATCCATATTTGTTGTTTTCAATAGCATCAAGGAAATATTTGCAGACCTGTATAAAACAGTGGCTGTTAGCAGCACATTCTCTTTTCATCCCCAGCAGTTTACACTACTGGGGTAGTAATGTACATGTATATGTCAGAAGTATAGCAATTCAAAGCCAGTTGTGCTCAAAACAGAAGAAACCTGTGAAACGCATAGCTACTTAAAAAAGCACACAAAAGAAGTACAATTAATTATCTAAAACCCATGTAGTTTACAGCTTTTTCCCCTTAATATAATCCCAATTTAGAAAGAATGAACTCTGTACTACTGTAAATCCAGCTTTGGTAGCATGTTGACAGTCTCTTCCTGCTCACCATCACCACTCTAGTTTTAATAAAAAGAAACTGAATTTGCCTCAGATGTTAAACATTCCAGCTCATCATACTGAGGTAAAGATGCCATCCTGGAACTTTTAACAAGCAATTCATAGTTCACACTTAAATTTACGGAAGTCAAACTTTGGTACAGTAAAGCAGTATCAAAGGAATCTTTAATTATTTGCAATTGAAAACAAGGTGAAATAATTGTGAAGAATGAGAAAGGGAAGATAAGACATCATAGCATTTAGTGCACAAAATAAAGAATATTCTTGAAGTTAGAGATCAGAAACTACTACTGACTCTCTATTAGTATATTTCAGATTACAGGAGAAAACTTAAATATACAGACTTCTATGGCACCCAGTACATAAATAAGCCAAGGTATATGGCAGTTGCTGAAATGAGATAACTGTAGCTAAATAACTGAAATGAGATAGCTGTAACTAATAACAGCACTTGAATCTTGTAAGCAAGCAGGATGTGTTAGATACATTACTGATTCCTTTAGGATTTCTATTTTGAAAGCACTTTATCTACTATCTATTTGTATCTGATATGAGGAAATAACTTACCATGACTGAAAGAGCTTTGGAATGTTTTTTTTGTTGTTTTTTGGGTTTTTTGGTTGGTTTTTTTTGGTTGTTGTTGTTTTATGTTTGTTTGGGTTTTTTTAAAATACACTATTAGAAATACTATCAGCCCAACTGTATACTCAGAATACTAATAAACATATCTAATACCAGTCTGCAATTAATTCTCTCTACTATAGCTCAATAAAAAAAAAAAGACATACTATTTGAGTTTTGGGTTTTTTCTTCTCGGCCTCACCATGCTTCTTGTTCACCACTTCTTCCAGCTTCTTCTCATCCCAGTTATCCATTGTATCTAGAAAAAGACAAACAGATTGTTTCACAAAAATTCCAAATACTAAATGACGCTTGTCGAGTTGCTTTTCTCCCTGACAATAGTTTTAACATGCAACTGTTAAATTTTGTTAGTTTATAAAACGGAAAATAAATTCAGGCTTTTATAATAAACTCAAAGTTTTCAAACTCTCCTATGCTGCTCACAAGACAATTTCCCCAAAAGCCTTAGAAACTTATATTTTGACATGCATGATGTGTGTTTCAGTTAAAGACTGAAGAATGTGTCATTCCATCTACACGTTACTGAGTGTGGACAAAGGAAAAGAAGAAAAGAAAGATGTCTAAGAGAGATGGCTGGAGGCTAATGTCCAGAAATACAGATAATACAACTTGGGATTATCTCTCTTCATCTGCAAGTTTTCTGTAATAAAGAAGACGCCATCAAAAGAAGCAAGATCACCAATAGTAACAACAGTAGTGACTATGGGATCTTATCATAGTCATTTAGGATGATACTGGCAAAAACTCAAAGCTAAGACATGATGCACCGTGGAAAAAAAAAGAAATTATTTTAACTGTAGAATCTCTAACCCCCACTAAGTAGAAGTAGAATGCAGAGTACTGTCCCATCAAGTGATTTGGGGAAAAGAGAGATAGTCGCAGGAAAAAAATTTCCAGAGTAAATTCTAATTGTAGCACTGCGCACATTTGAGCAAACACTAGTAATAGTTCTGGAAGGCATCTAGGGTTGCTCATTACACTTCCTCCTTTTTTCACTTCCATGCTATAGAACTTAGAAGAAAGTAGCAACTAGAAGAAAGACTAAATACTGTATAACTGGCTACTTGTATGACATGTTACGCAGCTGAATTTTAAAAAACATCCAATATCACTGGGACATACTTCTTTTACTAAACAAGGTCTAAAGAATACATGCGAGCACACTTTCCAGAGCAAGTCTCACTGTTGTTCGTAACTTTGAACATAGTGGCATGGCTCGCCTTGGTCGCTGATCAGGCTCTTCAGGATCAAAACCACAACACAGCACAACTCTTAATCTTAAAAATCCAGAACCAGAATAGTTTAGTAGTCCTTTTCTAGAAGTAGTATACCTTTTTCAAGGTCTTCATCTCTTGCATCAATGTAGACACTTCGTTTTTCACACTTCCTTTCCAAAGACAAATCATGAGAAAACTTGCACTTGTCTCCTTTCGTACACTGTCCTTGCTTGAAGAATGCACAAACTACAGATTTGGGGTCAGCACCTGGGTGAAGAAAGCTTTTATATTTTAATACTATTATTAAGCAAAACCTGTATATTTAAAATTCTAAAAACAATGTCTAAGATCACACAATCTTTAGGATCTGTAGAGAATGAAAACGTTTTTAAAAATTAAAGTTATTTAATGTGACATTCATCACAAGTAAAGACTCTATGTCCTGAATATGTCATATTTGCTTTGCATAGCATGGTATTTGCATTAAGTCCAAAGATGGCACTGGACTATTTAAAGAAATATGGATAGCAGTGGGTCCAAGTAAATTATTCATTCATATAATACATACAAGATATCACGCTCTGTAACTATCTTCCCTATGCAATAAGCTATTTTGCTTTTCAAAGTAAACCACCTTCTGGATGTCAGTCTTTGCTTAACAGATCAATACCACACTAGAATAAATTATAATAATCTAACTTACACTCATTCAGACCGCTTCCTTTAATAATAGAAATAAGATGGCTGCTCACAGCCCCCAAATAAGAAACTGTTTTTACAGTATGAACTACTCAATGTAACAACAGGTTAAGTAAATATCATCCCATTAAAGGAATTATTAGACCATTAGGAATTAAGAAAAGACATGAAAGCATGTAGAAATGTATTTATCACACACACAGAATCACACACAGAATCGCTCGGTTGGAAAAGACCTCCGAGATCATCACGTCCAACCGTTCCTGTCTACCCCCTAAACCATATCTTTAAGTACCTCGTCTACCCACTCTTTAAATACATCCAGGGATGGTGACTCTACCACCTCCCTGGGCAGCCTGTGCCAGCCTCTGACGACCCTCTCAGTAAAGAACTTCCTCCTTATCTCTGACCTGAATCTCCTTTGCCACAGCTTGGTGCCGTTTCCCCTTGTTCTATCCCCCATCACCTGGGAGCAGAGACCAGCACCCACCTCTCCACAACCTCCCTTGAGGTAGTTGTAGGTGGTGATGAGGTCTCCCCTCAGCCTTCTCTTCTCCAGGCTAAACAACCCCAGTTCCCTCAGCTGCTCCTCATCAGACTTGTTCTCCAGAGCCCTCCCCATCCTTGTGGCTCTTCTCTGAACACGCTCCAGAATCTCAACATCCTTCTTATAGTGAGGGGCCCAGAACTGAACACAGTACTTGAGGTGCAGCCTCACCAGTGCCAAGTACAGCACTGGTTTATGAGACACAACTAAATTGGAAATGTTTTACTTGTAACATTCATCAAGTTCTCATGTAAGATTTTAAGCTCAAGTTTTTCACTTGATTTTAAGCTTGGTGCAAATCACCAGTGACTAGAGTATGTACAGCAACACCTGTTTAAAAATCTTAACTAAAAATCTAGCTTTTAAACACTGAATGGATCCCTAAAAGAACTTCAGGTAATACAGCTCTCCTCGTTGGCAATCTCAATAGAATACCGAAGCTTTCATTACACAATATTAGTCTTCTAAAATAACTTCAAGTCAAGAGCTTCTTTATTTGGAAAAAGCTGACCACTGCAGATTTGGAAAACAGAAAACTGGGTTTTGTTGCTGGTAAGTACCATAGTGTACAAATACCAGGGTTGCTTTAAAGACACAGATGGAATTCACACCTTTTTAGACAGAAAATACTGTGCATAATTTCATTAGTTCCAGAAGGTTAATAAAGAGCTAACAACATTTAGTTAATTCCTAAAAGTATAGGTTTTTTTCCTCCTACAAGGTAGCCAAATGTAGTTTCCTAGAATTATCACTCAAACTTACATTACATCTCAAAACTAATTTGTTCAATAACTGACTTCCAAGTAAGACCACACTTTCAAAGCCAAGTCTGCAGACGCCTGGGCAATCGAGGCGTTGTGAACCGAAGTAGGCCTCAGCTTAGCATGAGTATGTTGTGAACCAAAGTGGGCCTCAGCTTAGCATAAGAGAGTCAAGGTTAGGTAAGAAGACTCAAGGCCAAGTAAGAAGAGAAAAGCAAGGAAATTAAGACTAATGTGGCATCACAATATGGTAAAGGTTGAAGATAAGCAGGGCGTGGGACAGGATGAAATAGATGTGGTTTGGAAAGTGTTCAATATGGAACAGATGTGATTTGGAAAGTGTTCAGTAGTTAGCAACCAATAGTGTATTAGCTTAGCCAACGTGGACAGCGTGCAAGATGCATGCAGCCTATTAGGAGTCGGATAGATGTGTGTGCGAACATTAACAATGTATAAAAATAGCAAGCTTTGTGCAATAAATTGGCTACCAGAGCATCATATTGGTGTGCTGTAGTCTGTTCCTCGCATGGACCCCAACATAAGTCCTAATGACAACTGTCAGGTGGGACAGAGGTAATTGGAAAATTTTTACTGTTCTGATTTAAATGCAAGTTTTCTGTGAAGTCAGTAATTACTGTATTACATTTCTTGTAATACCTGGATGGGCACATTTCCCCGAGGAGAACAGGCTCCTTTAAACAGAGATCATCACACTCACAAAAAAAAAATCATTCTGCTCATCCAGAAGCATCTAATTAATGAACCTGAATACAGCAAAGTATCTACAGCTGTTCCGTCTATATCAATGTAGCTTTTGATATTCTAATGATCCCAGATGACTTTGTAAGAAAAAGTCAAATCATTACTGACAAACTACTTGGTACACTATGTGAGAAGGAAACCAATGTATCTACTTCGCTAAAAAGTGAACTGTCATTTTTAAAGGGTATTTTACCTGAAGTAGCTATATGAATAAGAGAACAAATAAAGATAATTCAGTTACCCATACCTTTGCTAATTTTCTGTGCAGCAACCACAGGCTTAAAGAGTTCATTTAATTCTTGTAATTCTTTTTTCTTATCTTCTTTTTTTAGTTTCTTCTCACTTTCTGTTTGAGCAGCCTATAATGAACCCAAATTTGAAGGTATTAACATATAATTAGAATGACATTACTCACTTCACTTGAAGCGTATGTTAAAATAGCAAATCATTTCAGATCAGTTTATAACGGGAGGAGGGAAAGAACCTGTGATTTCTTAATTTCTCAGAGTTCCTGCCCTTGTGTGGATGGCCAGTGCCATCTAGTGGTTCTGAGATATTTCAAATGTGATTTGTCAGAGACATGAGATGCTGATAAGTACCATTACATGACACATTTACTCGTATTCACGGAAATCCTGTGAAAGATACTGAGACTAAGGAGAGGAAAAGTTAGTTGCTCTGTTGTGATACATTAGCAGGGCAAGTATTTAATGCAGCTACTTCAAGATCAGTGCAAAAAGCTTCTCTATCTTTAGTCCCCATGCTGCTTCGTTCTTCCTTTTCATGTATACCAGTAGCAGTTCCAGGAAATCTATCTGTAGAAGTTAGGAACTGCATTTTTGTTTGAATTTATATAAATTCATCGATAATCAGTGGTCTGTAAGACAAGAACATTAATTTTATAGGTATCAGGGGCCAAGGACTGAAAAGCAAGCTCACCTAGGAAAAGAAAAGTTTGTGTATAAAGATACCCTGCAACTCTGCCTTAGGATAAACCAAAAAAGGCCTGTATCTATACCAGAGTGGTAAAGCAGAATGAAGACAGATAAAAGAGGACATGAGAGAACCATTTTTAGATTATTTCTTATCCTTAAGGGAAGCTAGTGAGGCTACCACCACTATACAAATACATAGTGTACTTTATTGGTAAAATACAGTGTAATATTAAGAAAGAAGCTTTGTTCTTAGTGAATTTGGCAAGAAAACGCCAAATTATTTTAAAATAAAATTAATTTGATCCATATACAGAACACTCAGTTTCCATACTGAAAGTCCACAAATCCTATTTTATATAGCATGTAGACTCACATATGTCAACTACAAGTAGTACTACTTCAAGAACGCTTTTGTTTCACCCTAGGGTTCTGAAAGCATGAAGATGAAGTTTGTCTTTGCTTCTTTTTAAACAAAAAAGCTTGACAGCATTTTCATTTGTATCTTGGGACACAACAATAATTGATTTGAAGTGTTCTTTCTTTCTCAGGGAGAACCCTAACTGAAAACCATTGTACAGGGTAAGAAAAGTATAATCAGTTCTAAAAATTAACTTCTGACATCCATCAGTCAATAGCATTCGAGAAACAAATTATTTTAGGTTGATTAATTCCAGACTGATATTCCATTAGGTGCTACAGATTCAGGGATTTCTTACAGAAATTTCAGAAACACTGTTCAAGTAACACCAATGTTTTTGAATTGACATCAAGCAGTCTTTCCCATTACAAGAAACTGTTAGATCTAATGACCCAAATATCAACTTCATCTTTAAAGTTGTACTTGACATTTGTTAGTTTATCCTTATGTTATGCAAGGAATTTAGCATAAATAAGGTATCGTGAATGTAGCTGATGCAAATGTAATGTTCTACAGGCTTAATCACAGAACAGGAAGCTGCATGAATACTTAGTAACTAGTTTCCCTAGCACTAAAGGAATAGGAGACCTGGCTCACTTCCATTATAAAAATATCTTCACAAAATTTGTGCTTTCCAACTAAGTGTAATCTAAATGTATCTGAGCCACATCACATTTTACTTCATCATACAAAAGAACTGCAGAGGAGTAGACAGTGGCTCCAAATTTCAGTTTCTTTGACCAGTTCATCAAATAAATGCATACTTGTCAGACTTCTTTCCATTTTAAATTATAATAAATACTTCCACAAGTAGAACAAGCAGCACATATGAGCTAATACATTTTTTTAATCTTTTGCTCATTCCAATTTTAATATTAGTAACAACTACTCTTATTTTTAATGGTTCACAATTTCTTCGATTATGTAAGAATTAAAGAAGAAAAAAAAAAGAGAAAGAACATATAACTGCACTTTGCTAACAGCCAGTTTCTACAATTTACTTTCAGGTATACCTTAAACTCAATTATGTTACTATTATAATTCTACATAAAGAAACACACATCCTTATTAGATGAGTTTCGGTTCTTTGGTACCTAATTCTCAGCTAGACAAGCTTTGCAAGAAGACCATCTAGTTAAATCTGTGCTAGTCACAATACATCAGGCAAATACCATCTCAACTTTTTTCTACTTCAGTATTATATGACAATCTATATGTATAGTGAAAGATTATTTCACTACACAGTGGGAAAACATTACAGATTAAATGCTTACCTGACGTGGATTTTGCTGACCAAATTTAACCTGGTGAGTCACAGCCTTGATAAATTTCTGTTGTTTTGCACCTTTTTTATTCTTTAGGCCAAATGTTTTGTCCTAAATCAAGAGATAAATACAGCCAAGTTAATTGAAACTGTCCAACAGCTGGAACAAGTTTAAGTTGTTAAAAAATACCAAAAATCAATAAACCAAAAAACCCCACAAAAAAAACCAAACCAACCTAACAAAAAACAACCACAAAAAACCAGACATGACACTCCACTCAGGTTTTCAGTTTAACATAGACTGCTTCCTCCAGCAATCCAGAAAATAATATGGACAATATTTAGACTCCTCACATCATCTTTAAAATTTGCTTTTGCAAAGAACCTACTAAATGCTGCTTTTGTGTGAGCTACTGCTTTAATCACCAGACCTGTGTCCAATATTAGCGTGAGGTTATATGCAGCATTTTCAGGCTCCTCAAAACAAAAGGACAAGATGGTTTTTGTAACTATCCAAGCAACAGCTGATGAAAATATGAAGACTGAATAGCCATGAATACTGCTTTTTCTTCCTATCTACTTGAAATAACTTATTATTTCATATATGAATACCTGAAAATAAAAAGTGTTATATTTGTTACATAGGTTAATATTGCGTCACATAACACATTACTTTTTATTTTAAGGTATTTTAATGCTTATAATTGATTAACTCAATGTTTATAAATATGTAAGGGGTGAGTGTCAGGAGGAAGGAGCCAGGCTCTGCTCTGATGTCCAATGACAGGACAAGGGGCAGTGGGTGCTTCTGGAGCATAGGAGGTTCAACATGAACATGGGGAAAAACTTCTTTACTGTGAGGGTGCCAGAGCATGGCCCAGGCTGCCCAGAGAGGTTGTGGAGTCTCCTTCTCTGCAGACATTCAAAACCCGCCTGGCCATGTTCCTGTGTGACCTGGTCTGGTGATCCTGCTCTGGCAGGGGTTGGACTGGATGAGCTTTCGAGGTCCCTTCCAACTCCTAATATGCTGTGATTTTAAAGCTTTTCATTTTCTAACTCTACTAGTTGGAATACAAGTCTTACTCCTATGTCAAGTCCAGACAGGTGTTCTTACTTCTCAAACTCCACCGCAAGAAGTTTCTGTTTACCAACTGAAACAATTCTTCCTCTACAACTCTACTTTTATTGTTAGAGACAGGTTTGTATATAAATCTATTAAAAATTTCCTTAAAAAAAGAAAAAGCTCACTTTCACACAAGTATCTAAAGCAGAAATTACTTTTGTAACTGAAATACCTACATTAGAAGCCTGTCCATATCTTTGATTTGATACCAACATTCTTTTTCCTTCCAGGAACAAGTAGCAGATGTTTATCCAGTGAGATGTTTATCTCAGTTCAAACATACTTTTGGAAGCCCTAACATTCTAAAAAAATTATAGAATAATCAGTTCCAAATTTCCAGAGTCACCCTGTTTTCATTTACATTGTATCTCCCAGCAATAGTAGTAAGTCTTCTGTTACTTTATGCTAATTGGAAAAGTCTTTAATTTGTCAAAATAACTAGTTGGGAAAAAAAATAGATAACTCACACACTTTATTCCTGTGGCAAATCCCACATGGAATATATAATCTCTGTGTATTTGAATTATGTAATAAATTATTGTTAGTAATCAATGTAAGTGTTTTCCCTTTCAGCTCCACCTTTTTTTTTTTTTTAAATAAAAAGCAGAACGTAGCTGGATTCAGCAAGAACATTGGAAACACTGAAGCCAGCAGAGAGAACAACCCACTCTAAACTAACATTCCCAAACAACTGAACAATAACATTCTGCAGCACTAGATTTAAAAGAATACTTGCGTTACACAGAATATTTGCCTAAGCAGCTGAGCAGCTACTAACTCCCTTGCCAACTGATGCAGGCAAACATTTAGTTTTCTATAACTGCTCTTTATACTCTCAGCATAACTTTTTTTTTTGGTATGGTGGAAGATTTGCATGGCTATCCTAATAAAAAGCACACACACACCCCTCTTGCAGTTTTATTAAAATCTCATTTTACCATGGAATTGAGCATTACAAGTTTGAACAGAATATGAAATATTATTGACTAATCTTCAAATTATTTTACATTCAAACTCTATGAAAGATTTACTGAAAACTATTATTCCAGGCCTCTCTGGTCACATAGGTCAAATTGTGTCAAAAAAACCCCAAACAAATCATGTACGTTTTAAACTGAGAAATGCAAACCTACACCACAGAGAGCCAGCCTCAGAAGATGTAGAAACACACAGGGTATAGAGGTGGAGAAGGGAAAAGGTGAGAGAGGAAAAAAAGGAAGCCCACTCTTCTTGTCGGATCATCTTCAGTCCAAAGACAGCTCTGGTCAGAAAAAGTCGAGGCAGAAAACCTAAAGCCCAGCTCCAGAAGCGCACTGCCTACCAGCACAACTGAAAGGGCGACGGGAGGGGTTTGACAGATCTGGGCAGCACTGCTACGGAACGGCGCTTCTGGGCAGGGTCACGGTACCGATCAGGTGTGCGTGCGCATACCCCTTCGCGCACACAAAGTGTGCCATTTTCTCGGCCGCTTCAGCTGAAGAAGAGGCATGCGGGCCCGGCAGCCCG